GGGAAAGAGGAAGGATTTACGATGGAAATAATTTCCGGAACGCTCTCCAGAGTTTATTCGGCAACCGTGCTGTTAATGGCTGGCATATCGTAAAATCTTCGCGCGCATTCTTTTCTTCTTCTCGCGGTTCATTGACTTCATTTACGAGGATCCTACGTTTTCGACCTCTCGCTGGATCATTTGCAATTATTCGCACAAGTCGCTTTAGAAATAATTAAACCTTCGTAAAAAATCAACAACCACCAAAGATATTTACAAAATACTTATTTGTTAGCAATCGTTCATATTTCAAATATATATTTCTAATCAAACATGAAATTATAAAAATTGGATTTTATTGTGAAAAAAGAAATAATTCGGCGAACTATATCGTTTCTTCATTCGTTAACAATCTCGCACGCGAGAAAATGTTTAGACAAGCAACACGCATCTTATCTCGAAAATCGCCGATAGGCGAAATGAGCGATTTCGAATCGGTTCGCTCCACACCCCGTTGTTCCGCGCCGCTTTTTCTGCGACCGATAATAAGCGGTCGCTTTAAATTGGCCGATCATTTCAGGTGAGTCTGCCTACGCGGACCTAGTAGTTAACATCCACCTCCGTCCGGTTATTATCCCGCGGGACGCGGCCACCTCCTGCATCCCCTTTTCTTCTGTAGTCGTTTTCCGTTCCGCATCTCATCGAGAAGGATACCCACCGGCGGGCAAGTAGGAATATAACGAGGCCATTCGAAAATATGTTGCTTATTAGCTGTCACTTTCGGAAATAGATTCAAGGCGGCATTAAAAAAATATTATTTGTTACAATCTTGTTCGGAACGTCCGATTTGTCCGAACGATTAATAATGTCATTCTCGAATGATATAGTTGATAAAATGAATTGTGTACATGTGATATTCGCCAGTTTGCTCTATCGATGTATGTATATATATATAATGTATGTATTTATTTATTGTAAAATAATTTAAAGTGTCAAGAATTACATATTTTATCGAATGTTTGCGTTTACTATTCTTCCTTTTTCATGTTTTACAAATTTTTAAAATCTCTTACGTGTTCTTTAATTTGATAATCCCAAGTTTGCTTCGTCACAAACTATCTGAAGAATATATATATATATATATTAAGATTTTACTTTTGCCACTAAGTAAAAAGTTTAGGAGCATAATGTGAAGACAGAAGTTTATGTGTAAGTGCACGCGATTTCATAGCGATCTAAAAGACAGATGACCATCAAAGTCAAAAACATTTTACGTACGCTTTTCCAATACGTGACGTCTCCATTTTTCTATCGTTTCTCGTTACCTTGTCGTTTGCGTTTACGGAAAAGAAGAAGAACCAGAGACGAGAATGTAACGAGCCGTGTCTCGTTCGATTCCTCAGACATTTCAAGCCACTTATTACGCGCAGTCTCTCGTTCCGTAGATAGCGAGCAAGATTTCCTTCTTGTTTCCCTTCCACACCTCTTCTCCTCCATTATGTCCCTTTACATCTCTCCCACGATGGGTGTGCTCTCATCCTGCTATTTTATCCGCCGTCTTGTACTCGACGCGCCTTTACACGCAGCTGCAATTGTAGAAAAGAAACTTCCACCGCGTCGCATCTTTTTCTTTCGCGCAAGATTGTATCTCAGAACGAACTGCGGCTTCATGTCGAAGGGTGTTATGCGTTTACACGAGTGATGAAAGAAGTTTTCGTGAAGTGAAAATCTCTCGGTGCTTTATGTATCTTGGAGAGAGACTCTTTCGGAGAGAGCGGCGAGCTCTTGCAACACGACTGTGACTTATTTACGTGTAACAACGATAAAAATATTAACTGCATAATTGTTTATAATTTGTTATTTGTTAGAGATCCTTGAATCGCTAAAGTGATTTATAATTAACGCATATTTTTTCTAATATAAGTAATTTTATTTAAAAAAATCAACAAATGATTTTTTTTAAGGCAAGTTTTCAAGATATTTCGAGCTTTCCCTTTATTAAGAAATTTTTTTGCACAACTAGATAATTTGCAAACAAAGACACTGCGTCTGTTTTATTTATCTCGATCATACCTTCCGGCTAGTTAGATCTGTGTTTACTCAAATCTTCTCTCTCTCCGCATCACCGGTGCGCATATCCCATTAGCTGTGGTAACTAGCGCGAGGAACGACTGGTCCACTTGACCTTATCCGCTGGGTTCAACGCTTTCCATACTATCAGGAACATCCTTTTCAAAACGTC